AATGTCCTTAAAAATGTCCATTAATGATTCATATAATATTAAAATGCACGTAAACGTAAAAATACACTTCTTGGGAAAAAGTGGGGGTTTGTTTTTATCGTGGTGGGACCAGGGTTTTTTGACCAAATGGTTGGTGAGACGTAAGGTGCAAAAGGTTGATCTAAGTCAGCTGGCTGCACAGCAATCAGGACTCATGGTAGAGATGATACCTTTTATTTGACCAACTAGATTTTTGCAAAAAAAAAATTATAGTTGGTCTAATAAAAGATATCAACTCTACCACGAGTCCTGATTGCTTTTGGCACTTGACCAATACGGCTACAATCTGGATACCTGGCTGCACAGCCGCGCTCCAGAGCAAGTGGGAAACAGTGCAGAAACGTCCCCTAACCACCAAGAGCCAGGGAACTTCCTACCCTGCCTGCCCTGCAGCTCTCACACACCCAGGCTCCTGAAAGGACAAGCAGGATCTTGACAGCAAGACTTCAGAGATGTACAGATCCCTGGGGTCTTTTCCTAGCCAGCCCTGATGCAATTAAAGCCAGAAGCTGCAGCCCTCCATTGCAACACTTGAACCACCACTTCCCTTGCAGGAACACGCTCGACCTCACACAAACACTAGGTCTGCACAGTCCTGTGGATTGAGGCCTCACTCCTGCCAACAGGAATAACTGCACATGCCCGAACTCAGTAGGATGCTCAGAGGTGGCGATGCAGGCTCAAGTCCTTGCTCCTTCTCGGCATAAGAAAGCTGAAGGGGACAAGACACACAAATCCAAAGGGGGATTCAAACTCAAGGGACAAACCCGCTGCAGGTGGGAAAATGCAGCTTGCTACCAGGCTGGCACCCCCACGATCCCCAGCTTTCCCCCCAGAGGCACCGATACACGACAGGGCTCAAATAACTTGCCACTGCTTTGCACCACTATAATGAGATCCTGGGCACTCATGCAAGCTTCATCAACACAGTGAGATTTGGGGTGGACTGGGAGGAGATGCCAGTAGCAGTTGATTAGCAGAATGAGGACGTCCTGTACTCACCCCTGCCGCAAAGCCCAGGCTGCCATCTAGGATCCGCCTCTGAAAAGTGAAACAAAGCCCTTCATTTACCAACTGCAAATGGAACAAGGGGCCAACAGTTCTGGCAGGGGAACAGCTTTCCAGGGGTTAAGTTTCAAGATGCTCCTATGCTCCCCTATATCAGGGGCAGCTAGGCACAGCTCTCTTTCAAAGCCGAGCATCCTACGTTCAGATGAGCGCCGCAGAGTGACTAAGTGAATTCCCAAAGTCACACAGGACATCTGTGGACACTGAACTGGGTCTGCAGCATCTCAGCTCAGCATCCTAGGGCTGGTCACCAGCCCAAGCCAAGGCTGCACTTCACGCACGTGCTGAAGTCCCAGTGTGCCTTCAGCAACTCTCAAGCTCGTGCTTTGCCACGCTGCTCTGCAGAGGGTGGATTTAAGCAGGTCTTCTGGCAACGTTATTCATGACTTCTGGGTTACAAACAAAAGCAGGAGCCCCCTGATTTGGCAGCCTGGCAATGATTCACGGCTCAGTCCTGCTTGGTTCAATCACGCAGCGACCCGTCTTCCCGAGCCCCAAGCGGAAGAACATTAGCACTGGAGAGCTCCCTGGAGAACAAACTCCTGGAGAAGCTGTCCAAAAAAAGGCAGTAAGAAGCAACCAGGTGGGGAAGGAAAGAGGGGCCAGCTCTTGAAAGCAACACCAGCACCAGCCTGTGGACTGGAAGATGGCAGCTTGGAGCTCTGACAGGCTTGAGCACAACTTCAGCTGCTTCCACCCCAGAAAAACTAACTGAAGTTCATAACAAAAGACATTAAAAGACACCGAAGCGAAGGCAGCAGCAAAGAACACAGATCCCAGCTTCCAGCCTGCCCCTTCCCTCCTACACACCTGGGACTAGATCGTGCCTTTGTAGCTTTGTCTGAAGCAAAGGAGATGGGGGCTATTTTAGACCAAAAGAAGATGGATCCCTACAGGGTGAATGCTGGACAGTCAAGCTGGCTTCTTTCTTTCTCAGGCTGTTGGCACCAGCTAGTCCGACCCAGCTCAGAGCCGGTGCCCGAATCAGAGCTGCATGGGTCCTGCTGGGCCAGCAGGAAGAAAGAGCCAACTTGCTGTCTCCATGTGCAGCAGATACAGCTGCAGCTACGCCAGGATGAAGAGCAGCTGAGGAAGGGCCTGTCATTCTGGCATTCCCCTTTCCTGAGAAGGGAAACTCGCTGCAAACCAGCTCGTTGTAATCAAATATTCCTTCCCCGCGCCTGCACTTTGTGCCACAACGTCGATGCAAATGGGATTTGCAAGCACTGGATAAATGCTTGCTCCAGTCACAGCAGGGAGGGCGCAGGTGGCTGAAAAGTCCATGCAGGGCGAGTTTGCCCAGCCTGGTGTTGGGGCCACACAGCTAGATCCCCCTCCCCTGCAAACCCAGGGCCTCAGAGTTTTGTCTGGAGGGAGGGAGAAGCTTCCACCTGACTCTCCATACCCACCTGGCCGCTGGAAAACACGAAGACGAGTGCTGAACCCGCTGCCGTCAGCCCCCAAGTCAAGAAGGTTCCTAGCAGCGCCTGGACCACCGGACTGAGGCCTGCGATCATCCTGAACTTGCCTGGAGCTCACCAGCCTAGAAGAGACACAGGGTATCAGGAGAGAAGGCATCAAACACAATGTAGGCTTTAAACCAAGAACACGACCCCTACCCCTTATTAACAGGAGGAGCTTTGGGCCTGGCTTTCATAGGTGCTGGGCACCTAATGTTCCCTTCAGAGCCCCGGGCATGAGGCCGGTCAACTGCAAATCCAGTTTAAGACCATTGGCAGTGCAGCTCGTCTGGTCCGCTCCCACCTCAGGCAGCCTGGACCCTGCTGGAGTTTGTGACATTGAAATCCAAAAGTCATTCCCCGCTCCCTTGTGTCAATGAACCTTTCCATAGAGCCCCCCTGGCTTCAGTGGGGATCTACCCTGCAAGGACCCCGTTTCCGCGTGGGAGCCCAAGGACATCCATCCGCGTAGAACAAGTTTTCTTTCTGGGATGCGGGGGGGTGGGAAACAAAGACACCCTCTACCACCATGAGCAAGAACCTAGGAGTCCAACCTCCAGGGAAACTACACAGGCTGGCACATCCTTACATTCCCCAGTAGCTCCCCTTGAAGCCCTCAGTTCTCCCAACCAAACAACTAGGAAAAGGGAGAAGACGAGAAATACAATTAATTCACACCGTCCCTCAGTCCGAGCAGAAATCCCAAGCCCACATTCACTACACTTCTGGGGTGCAGCAGATGCATGCGTGCTTGCACCAGTGAAAACCGCACAGCAGTCCATGCAGAGCACCAACTATACTCATTACACTGTTCGCAAACACTTGTGTCACACCGGACAAAGAACTAAAGCAGCAATATTAAGACTACGTGACTACTTCTGAACTGCTAAAACTTCCAATAACCTACGGAAAGGAGCCCTGATGTTTCCTCCTGGCATCTGAGGAATACCTAGTTAACTTGCCGTCATGCTCACGGCACACTAAGGATTCACCAAGGGAGATGCTGTCTGTCAATCAAGACATCTAAAAAAGAAAAAGCTGCTATGTATCTTCAGGCAGAAGCATGCAATATCAGTAAAGCTCTGTGCAAAACCCTCCTGCCTTCTGGACTTCAACACCCAGTAACACACTAGCCGAAAGGCTGCCTTTTTTTCTGCCCTAGTCCCCTTCCTCGCTGCAAAGGCTGGAAGCCAAAGGCCGATTTTAAGGACTCAGATCTCTGTCAAACTGGTGCACAAAATATAGGCTTGAGGTCCCCTTGTTTAAAGCCCGGCTGCCCGAGCAGAGCAGGGATCGAGCCCTCCTAGTCGCCCACCCAACACACGGGATGTCCAGCCTGGGGAATAAGCTCCCTCCAGCGGTGCTGCAATCGCCTACCCTGGAAGACTTCCAGAGGAGACTGGACAGTCGCCTCGCTGGGGTCTCCTGACCGCCAGTTATCGTTCCTGCCCGGCGCAGGGCACTGGCCCCGACGATCTCCCATGGTCCCTTCGAGGAGTAACCCTCGAGGACACAGGTCCTCCCACTCCCTTGGGTCCCGGGCTGCTTTGTTAAGCCTCCTGAGTGCCCCGAGGATCCCCCAAAGCACCGACCCTTGGGGATACGACATGCCCCACAGCCTCCACAGCTGCCCTTGGCATTCTCACGCCCATCCTTTCCCTCCATTCCCGCTGCCCCTCCGCGCCAAGAAGGTGCCTGCCGGGGAGGGGGATTATCGGTGGGGTTGAAGATGGCTGTGGAGTCCCATCCCTGCTCTGCACGGTCTCCCAGGGGGCCAGGACACTGCGTGCTTCCCTTCCTCCTCTGCCATTGCGCAGCTCCCTACGCCGGGCGTCCTCGAGGCGGACGGCAGCTCTGCGCCCGCGACCCCCACCCCAGCCTGTCCCAGCTGGATGCCACCCAGACCCCGCTCCCCTGCACCCCTGCCACTTGCTTGCTGCCCTTCCTCGCTGCATGCTGGATACACCCCCTGGCCCCATCCTGCCACCTGCCCACAGCCAGGGCATGGAGAAAAGAGCCCCCTGCAGCCCCCCAGCCAGGAAGGCTCCCTGCCAGGGGCTCTGCCCCAGTGCCCAGGGGCCCCCAGCCCCACGCCCAGGGCCCTGCACCCGGGCACTGCCCCAGACCCCCACTCACTGCTGCTGCTGCAGCCCTGCCTGCTCCAAGGGCTGCTGCCACTTCCGGGTTCTGCTGACACGTGTCGCCCCCCCCCCCCCCTCCCCCCCGCCGCAGCCAATCGGAGAGCTGGAATCGGTGGGTCTTTATGTTTCGCGTTGCTGCGTGGGAGGAAAAAAGAGAGCGGGCGGGCGCTGCTGGCTGCTCCCTCTCCCAATCCCAGCCGGATTTAGACTGAAACTATAGTTTGGGGCCGATAAGTAAGAGAGAGAAAACTGGACTTTTGTATTGTAATATGCCAAAACCAGACATATAGATATATCTCTCTAGATAGATCTGTATAGATATCTTGATATCTGTATGAGAGAGAGAAAAAACTGGACATTTGCATTGTAATATGCCAAAACCAGACGTATAGATATGTCTAGCTATCTATCTTATAGATCTATCTATTTATTATAGATATATTATATTATATCTAATTATTTATTAGATAGATAGGAGAGAGAAAACTGGACATTTGCATTATAATATGACAAAAACAGACATATAGATCTATCTATCTATCTAGATATGTATAGATAGATCTATATAGATATCTCGATATCTATAGAAGAGAAAAAAACTGGACATTTGCATTGTAATATGACAAAAAACAGACATATACATGACAAGCATATAACAAAAACAGACATATATATGTGTATGTGTGTGTCTGTTTTTGTCATATTACAATGCAAATGTCCAGTTTTTTCTCTCTCTTATATAGATATCAAGATATCTATACAGATCTATCTATATATATCTAGATAGATAGATATATCTATATGTCTGTTTTTGTCATATTATAATGCAAATGTCCAGTTTTCTCTCTCTTATATAGATATCTAGATATCTATCTAGATATAGATAGATTTAGATAGCTATCTAGATATCTTTATCTATATCGATATCTAGTTGGTCGAATAAAAGAGATCACATCTACCACAAGCCCCGATTGCTATTTCTGCACAAATTGATGAACTCAATATAAACAATAACTGTGAAGCCATAGATATCTAGTATATACATCTATATAAATATCTAGATATCTATGGCTTCACAGTTATTATTCATTATTGAGTTCAATTTGTGCAGAAATAGCAATCGGGGCTCATGGTAGAGGTGATCTCTTTTATTTGACCAACTAGAGATCTATATAGATAAAGATATCTAGAGATCTATATAGACCAACTAGATTTTTGCAAAAAAATATATATATTATTAGCAAAAATTTAGTTGGTCTAATGAAAGAGATCGCTTCTACTCTGATCCCCGATTGCTTTTTCCTCTAGAGCAATACAGCTCCAACCTGGAGACCGGCAGAAATAACAATCATGCATCTTAAATTTTCATGAAAATCCATTTTTGTGGATTATTTTTATCGTATGGGGACTCTTAAATTGGACATAGTTTAGGGCCTCCGCATGTCCTAATCCAGCACTGGGCTCTCCAGTGGGGGCATGGCCCCTCCCAGCCCTTTTGCCCCCTGCAATGCTGATGGATAAGGGGATTTTCTTCCATCTAGTTTTCTCCCCGCAGCTGCAAGTAAACTGCCCCTTCCAGTCCTTTTGCATGGGTTGCATTGAGCTCCCACTGGTGCTCGGCGCTGCACAAAGCCAGCAGGCCTGGGCCCTGCTCCAAGGGGCCAAGGGCAGCGGGTGCAAAAGGCACCCTTTGCATCTTCCCAGGAGATGGTGCTGGGTCATTCTGCAGCTGTGTTGCAGCACAGCAGGACAAGGGCCAAAGTCCAGCCTGGGGTTGGCGAGATGCGGGAAGGAGGCTGCCAAACGAGAGGGGGGAAAGCAATCAGGACTCGCAGTAGAGGTGATATCTTTTATTAAACCAACTAGATTTTTGCAAAAAAAAAATTCTTTAATTTTCAGGCATTCAAACAAGGGGGGTGCATTTGAACAGGGGGCAGACCTAGTCTTACTGCTCTGGGTCCAAACAGGCCCATGGGCGACTGAACAGTTTTGCTCAAATCCCAACTTTTTGCTCATGGGGGATATCCTCTGGGCCAAGCAGGGGCAAGGGAAGGTGAACAGGGGATGAAGAGGAGGAATCACAGACAATGAGGGCTGGAAGGGGCCTCAGGAGGTCCCATCTAGTCCAACCCCCTGCTCCAAGCAGCACCAGCCCCAGCTCCATCATCCCAGACAAGGCTTTGCCCAGCCAGGTCTTAAACACCTCCAAGAATGGAGGTGCCACCACCTCTGGGTAACCCATTCCTGTGCTTCACCGCCCTCCTAGTGAGACGTTTTTCCTAATCTCCAACCCTAACTTCCCTTGCTGCAACTTGAGCGCATTGCTCCTTGTCCTGGCATCTGCCCCCATGGAGAACAGTCCAGCTCCATCCTCTTTGCAGCCCCCCTGCAGGGAGGTGAATGCTGCTATTCAATCCCCCTCGGTCTTCTCTTCTGCAGACTCAATAAACCCATTTCCTTCAGCCGCTCCTCACCAGTCCTGTCCCCCAGCCCCTCCAACCATTTTCCTTGCCCTCCGCTGGACTCTCTCCAATGTTGACCACATCCTTTCTGCAGTGGAGGGCGCACAGCTGGACACAGCACTCCAGATGTGAAGGAGGGGGCTGGGATCTCCAGGTGCCAGACTTACAGGACTCAGGAGGACCTCGCACCCGGCGTCAGGGAGGTGAAGAAATTCCTCTTCCCTGGCTGGGGATTTGTAGCTCATGTACAAGCAGAGTGCTGATGGCTAAGGATATTTTTTCCATATAGTTTTCTCCCCCAGTGACAAGCAAACTGCTCCGAAGGATGCTGCCCCTTCCAGTCCTTTTGCACTACCGCGGTCCCCCTCTGCGGTAACAACGTCTTATGTATTAGTTTAGTTCCCACCATGTGCTCGGCGCCGGGGCAAAGACAAGAGTCCCCAAAGAGTCGACTCGGACTATTTACGCTGAAGTCCTCTGCCTGGGTGCAGCGAGTTATCATCAGAGCTGCTAAACCCCATATTTCTAGGGCTCCACTCGTCACCCGGGTTTCCGAGCACTCAGCACGCACCGTTCAGTCCAGGTTTCCCGAAATCTCAGCACTCAGCAGCCTGATTTTGCTCTGAGCGGGTCTCTAAGTTTTAGCCCGGTGATCTCTCCCTACACAAGCCCCACAGAGGGCTGCCTGGCAGCCAGGCCGTTTGCACGAGGCTGCCCCCAGCTCTGAAGCATGGCCTGTTTGTGTGCAAAGAGCCCACACCTGCATGGACCGGAGGGAGGGAGAAATCCTTCTGGGCGCGCCGTGATGGCTGGAGGGCAGAGGAGTTTTGCTGCTGTGACCACAGCTGGATAAAACCCCAGGCAGGAAGCCAAGACCCGGGAAAGAAAACACAAGAAGGAGAAGCGACTAGCTTTGGCAAGACACACTTTTTTTTATATATATATACACACACACACATACACACACACACACACACACACACACATATATATATATAGAAAGAGCTATGTTTTTCACATTCCCCAAGCACTGACTTTAAGAACAATGCCAAAAATCATGAGAGTTGGCAATACTGCATCTGCTCCATGCTCCTGCCTGCCTGCAAAGCCACAAGCAGTTTGCAAAGGACCAAGTCTTTCCCCAAATGCCTCATCCAATCTCCCATCAACAGCTCGCTGTCAGCCTCAGCCAGGCACCTTGGGATGAACAATGTCACTACAGAGACGCCCGGTGCTAAATCACACCTGTGTACCCAGCCCCGTGCTGCTTGCCTGCTGGTTGCTGGACACTGAACAGTGCATCCAGCACTCACGGGACACGGGACATGGACCAAGGTGCGCTGCATGGGAGGATAAGGGATGGGGAGTTCCCCTTGTCTGGAAAGCTGTGCCCCAAAATCTCGCCCCTGGAGAGATGCCCCTTGCAGAGGGGAGGAGAAAGAAAGTAAAAGGGCTGGGGCTGGTCCTACAGGGCTCCTTGACCCAGACCCGTCTGACCCAACTGGACCAGTAGGACCTAAGGCTGTACATGAGTGTACGGCACAACCCAGCACCGAGCACCCTCCTACCAGTACCTCTGCCCGGGGTGTCTTCCCCCCTTGGAGAACAGCATCACCAGCATGGACGCTCCCCAGTAACCTCCTGCCCAGGAGCCAGCAGCAGCCTGGCAGCGAGGAGGAGGAAAGCAGAGAGTCACGGCACCTGGCTGGTGTGAGAGCGGATGGAGAAGGACCGGGTGGGTGACCATGGGGGCAAGGCCAACCCAGCCCACCCCCTCCTGCTCTGTGCTTCACTCCCCAATCTGTCGGAGTGAGCCAGCCGGCACGACACCGGCGTGGTGGAGCCCAGCCCCCTGCCAGCCTCGGTCTGCCTGGCTGAGCTAGGGGTCCCCACAGGCCGCAGGACCCACGACTGAGCACGGCACGTGTTTGCCAGGGACTGGAGCATGGCCGTCGGGAGTCTCCAGCCAGACAGGCACTGCCGGATGGGTCTGCCCCTCTCAGCGCTGCGCCGCGGGGACCCAACTGCATCACGGCATGGCAGAGCACGGCACGGCCAGCCCCGGGCACCAGAGGAGCTTTTCCCACAATGCAGGGCACTGGAGGCATGATGCAGAGCCCAGCCCCAGCTGCCAGGGCGAGTTCTCTCTCCTCTTAATGGATGAAGCTGTTAATTGCATGGCTAACGAGGCCCCGAGGGGGAGTGCCAGCCAGCTGTGCGCTCTGCAAAGAGCAAATCGAGGCTCATATGTCCCTGTCCTGAGCCTGCCGTGGCCCCCAGCCCAAGTTCGACCCCAGCAGCGTCTCCGCTAGGAGAGCTAGAGAGACTCCAGCTGCTGATGGAGCTGGGCAGGGGGGAGCTCAGCTACCCCGGGGGTCTCTGACCCCCTCCTTGCACTCTGCCATTGCAAGAGGGCACAATGCCGCGTCCCCACATCTGGCCAGGCCCCTTCTATCGTGATGCTGGGATCTCAGCTTGAGCTGGTTTCTCTCTGCCCACACACAGCTCCAGGCCAGGGGGGGACATCACGGGTAATGCACACACTGTGTCCAACACCAATGCCCCCAGCCCCGTCCTCGCGAGTGCTGCCCAACCCTTCCTCTCATGCCAGCCTCCAGCCCTGGCAAGCGGGAAGGCTGAACGCTGCCTCTGGCACCCTCATCCTCATTTATTAAAGTGTTCATCTCCACCGCACTCGGGAAAGGTCAAGCCCATTTAAAACCTCCCTGATTTAGGATGGAATCAATTTTCCCCACTTTATTGCCTGCATCCTTCATTAGCCGCTCGAACAAGCCAGATGTGGAGAGTGGGGCCAGCAGGGAGAGGAAACGGCTGGACAGAGGAGGACCGTGGGCATCTGAGGAGGGGCCAGGGGCAAACCTTGCACCCATCCCCATCCCGTCACAGTCTCCAGCAGGTTGGCGTGCACCTCACCTCCGCCCACCTGCTTTATCCAATAACCCCAGCACATGGTGCGGGGCGGGGATGCGGCCTGAGTCACCTGGCTCTGCCTTTCCCTATTGCAGCAGAGGCACACGTCCCTCTTGAGCAACCCAGGAGCGAGGGAACAGGCACAGCAAACAGTTTGCAAGCAGCTCACTCGGGGCAAGAGAAGGACGGGGAAGAGGAGCCTGGCACCAGGCACCAGATCCTGCACTGGGAAGGTAAGGCAGCCAGCGCTGCCCATGTGTTTGGCTTGCTGAGTGTTTGTTTGGTGGGATGTGTGTGGCTTAGGCGTGTGCCACAAGCAGCGCGACCTCGGTGATTACTGCCCATGTCTGATAAAAGCCCTGACAAGGGGACGGGGCCAGTCCAGGCCCAGCAGTGTCTAAAAGGAGACTCCCCAAGCAACCAGGGAGGGAGCAAACAGGGCAAGCAGTTTGCAAGTCAGTTCACTGCCCGCCGCTTTGTAGGGGAGACTTTAAGGTAAGCTCTTTCTTTCAATTCAGAGCAGCTAACCTACGTATAAGTAGCTAGACTACATGCATAAAATGCAGCAGGGAGACCAGTACTGAAGCCCCTTGCTTAACTACAGTCCCGACCCAGGAGGAGTGCACGAGGGAGTTTGCTTGGAAACTCCCACCTTCCTTCACTGCAAGCTTGGTGAGAGGCAGCAGGGAAAGGGGAACGTTTCGGGGCCAAGGAGCAGCAAACAGGTGAGTTTGCTAGGGAAGGTCTGCTTGCGCGAGGGGCAGCATGAGAGAGGCAGCGGATTAAGAGACCCAGAGAAATGGCTGGAGGACATTGCAATGCCAGAGCCACTGCCAGCTTTTCCTCTGCTTGCACCTGGAGGGGTCTGTCCAGGCAGGACCGCTCACTGTCGAGCTGGTGCTGTGGAGGTGGGATTTGGCTTCTTCGACCGTGGGATGTTGTTCCAAGAAGAAGGGTTGCTGGGAAGAGATGGGATCCACCTGGCAAAGAGAGGGAAGAGCATCTTTGCAGACAGGCTCGCTTACCTAGCAATGAGGGCTTTAAACTAGGTTGGTCGAGGGATGGAGACTAAAACCCTGGGAGGAGTGGGGGACCTGGAGGGAGCACAAGGAGGAGGGCTTGGCTCGGAGCAAGGGACATGAAGGGGAACAAGAAGGGCTTCTACAAGTATGTCGGGAGCAAGAAGAGGATCAGGGAAAGTGTTGGGTCCCTTACTGAGTGGGGAGGCAACCTTGTGACAGAGGATGCAGAAAAGGCTGAAGTGCTCATTGCCTTTTTTGCTTCAGTCTTCACAAGCAAGGACAGCTCCCAGACGACTGCCCCGGGTAGCATAGTTTGGGGAGGAGACGACCAGCCAACAATGGTGAAAGAACAGGCTGGGGCCCATTTAGAAAAGCTGGATGTGTACAAGTCCATGGGGCTGGATGGGATGCACCCCATGGTGCTGAGGGAGTTGGCTGATGTGATTGCAGAGACGCTGGCCATCATCTCTGAAAACTCATGGAGATCAAGGAAGGTCCTGGATGGTTGGAAAAGGGCAAATCTAGTGCCCATATTTAAGAAAGAAAAAGGAGGATCCAGACCAGTCAGCCTCACCTCGGTCCCTGGAAAAATCATGGAGCGGATCCTCAAGGAATCCATTTCTAAGCACTTGGAGGAGAAGATTAGAAACAGTAAGGATTCGCCAGGGGCAAGTCATGCCTGACCAACCTGATTGACTTCTGTGATGAGATGACCGGACCTGTGGATGTGGGGAGAGCAGTGGAGGTGATATACCTTGACTTTAGCAAGGCTTTTGGTACTGTCTCCCACAGCATCCTTGCAGGCAAGCTAAGGAAGCACAGGCTGGATGAATGGGCTGTAAGGTGGATAGAAAACTGGCTGGATCATCAGGTTCAAAGGATAGTAATCAATGGCTTGATGTCTGGTTGGCAGCTGGTATGAAGTGGAGGGCCCCAGGAGTCAGTCCTGGAGCTGTTTTTGTTCAATATCTCCATCAGCGTCCTGGAGGATGGCACAGAGCGCACCCTCAGCACGTCTGCAGATGACACCAACCTGGGGGGAGTAGTAGATATGTTGTAGGGTAGGGCTAGGATTTAGACCTCAACAAATTGGAGGATTGGACCAAAAGAAATCTCATGAGGTTCAACAAGGACAAGTGCAAAGTCCTGCACTTAGGAGGGAGCAATCCCATGCACCGGTGCAGGCTGGGGGTGGCGGGCTGGGCAGCAGCTCTGCAGAAAAGGACCTGGGCGTGACAGAGGACAATAAGTTGAATAGGAGCCAGCAGTGTGCCCGTGTTGCCAAGAAGGCTAATGGCATATGGGGCTGCATTGGTAGGTGTGTTGCCAGTAGGGCAAGGGAAGTGATTATTCCCCTCTATTCAGCACTGGGGAGACCACATCTGGAGTCCTGTGTCCAGTTTTGGGCCCCCCACTACAGAAAGGATGTGGACACATTGGAGAGAGTCCAGGGGAGGGCAATGAAAATGAATCGGGGGCTGGAGGACAGGACTGGTGAGGAGAGGCTGAGGGAAATGGGCTGATTGAGTCTGCAGGAGAGAAGACCAAGGGGGATTGAATAGCAGCCGTCACCTCCCTGCAGGGGGGCAGCAAAGAGGATGGAGCTGGACTGTTCTCAGTGGGGGCAGATGGCAGGACAAGGAGCAATGGGCTCAAGCTGCAGCAAGGGAAGTTGAGGTTGGATATTATAGATTCATAGATGTTAGGGTCGGAAGGGACCTCAATAGATCATCGAGTCCGACCCCCTGCGTAGGCAGGAAAGAGCGCTGGGTCTAGATGACCCCAGCTAGATGCTCATCTAACCTCCTTAGTTAGGAAAACTTTGTCACGAGGAGGGTGGTGACGTCTCCATCCTTGGAGATTTGAAGACCCAGGTAGACAAAGCCTTGTCTGGGATGATGTAGTTGAGGTTGGACTAGAGCAGGAGGTTGGCCTAGATGTGACCTCCTGACATCCCTTCGAGCCCTCATTGTCCGTGATTCCCAGCACCACTCACCAGCGCCCTATAACCTTTCATTGCTGGTGAGTGGATAAAGCACTCAGCACACCTCTAACTATTGCTCCTGACTCTCTCCCAACTGCCTGAGCCTCTCAGGGCTGCAGAAGATTTCCCAGTAAGAACCAGTCAGGCCCCAGGACATGGTCTTGCTACGGGAGCACAGGACTGGGTCCTAGGAGGGAAGGCTCCTGTTCCTGGCTTCACTTATTGCACCTCACAGCTGTGTGCCAACTCCTCTGCGGGGGCCACAAGGCTTTGAAAAAGGCCAGGGGCAGGCCAGCTCCACGATAGCAGGTTTGCTTACAGGGACGCTGGCAGCTGCAAAGCCTGAGCCCATCCTCAAAGCAAGCTCCAGCCACTGCCTCTGGAGGCCAAAGTCCTCCACAAAGCCTGGATGCTCCTTTCCTGTTAATGGCCAGATAACTAGCAATCAATGCCGTGCATCTGGGCTAAGTGACAGCGAAGTGACAGGCAATGAGCGCTGGCCTGCCAGCAAAGCAGGGAGCTCTGGGTGCAGGTGGCCACGGTGCCCACACAGGGGACCAGGGCGGCAACATGCCAGGCATCCAGCGTGCCCAGGGCACGGAGCTGCAGCTGGGCCCTGAGCTTTGGACAGCTCTGCATTACCCCTGGCAGAAAGGGAGGGTGGAGCAGGGACGTGGCGTTGGCACAACGCATGCAAAGGGACTGCAAAGCAATTGGAAGTGTCCCTGGGAGCAATGCCAAGCTCCCCTCTGCCCAGGCCCTGGCTATTTGGAAACTTATTGGGCACCTCAGGGCTCCTTTAGCAGGGGCCAAGGGGCTGGAGTCAGCGGTCATCCTAGGGAAGAATCCAGACCAGGCTTCTCTGGGGTACCAAGGAGCATATCTGGGGTGATGAGGAGCCCGGCAAGGGAAGAAAGCCACCAAGACTGCAAAAGGGGAATGGGCGACCAGCAAAGAGGGGAGCGATTCCAGTCCTTAGCTGCACGTGGCTCATTACAGCAGCTATTCCCTCTCGAAGACATATGGCTAATTGACACAGCCTCTTTCACACTGCCCCCGCCCCAGCACGCCGAGTGCAGCCCGCTAATCTCACGGCAATATCGACAGAGGTGTCGGGAGGAATCGGAGACACGAGTGAGCGGCAGAGAGGAGTGCCCCAAGAGATAGGGAGCCAGGCGCGGTGCCAGGCCCTGCAGCGAAGCAGGCTCTCGCATCCTGCACAGTGCTGCATTCATGGAGCAAGAGGAAAAAAGTGCCCTTGCCTGCCTGGCTTTTTTTTCCAAATGTTTTCTGAACCCCACCAGCTGGCACGTCCCAGCGCCCCGTGGAGAAGGCCCTGGACACAGCACTGGAGGCTGGCTTGAGCCACGAGGGGCTGGGACAGACCTTCTCGGAGGAGCTGCAAACATCTGTACACAGGGAACATCTGCACATGGCTCCGTTCCTGCCTGTCTGCAGCCAGGAAGGGAGCAAGGCTGCCACGTGCACGGTGGTGGTATCCCACACACCTTTGCATGGCTGCCGCACCACCTTCACCTGGAGATGCCTCTGCTCCCAGTCCCCTGTGAGGCTCCCGGGGAGAAGGATGGGGAGCTCAGTCCCCAAGCGCTGTTTACATTCCCCGCAGATGGCAGCAATCGCTCATGTGCTTGCGCGAGGAGCCCGGCCAGCCTCCCCATCACGCCCGGGGGTGAGCAGGGCTGGCAGCCAGCACGGGGAGGAGAGAGCTCCTTGCTCCGCTCACTCCGAGCAAAGGGGCTGCAAGCAGGGGATGGCTGTGGGGCTTCCTCATCACGGCTCCCAAGGGCGGTAGCAACAGCTTGGAGGAAGGAGGGAGAAGCTGGTATCACAGGCTGGGGCCGCAAGCCCGGTGAACCCAGCTCACTGGAGCCACAGGAGATGCACAGATCGCGGCAAGTAGCCATGCAGCAGGGAGCGGGGCTGGGAGGACAGTGCAGAGACAGCTGGCCATCTCCTAGGGACCCAGAGAAATGCACTGGACCTCAGAGTCAGAGAAGAGCTGGCTGGCGGGGCCTTGCAGAGATCACTGCTCAAGACAGAGCCATCCCCATCCAAACCATCCCATTGCCTGACCTATTCCTGACACTACACAACAGCCCTGTCTGTCGCACAACCACAAGGCCCATTCACTTGAGAGATCCAAGCAAGAAGCTGTGCATGGAAGCAACCCTCCCCTCCTCCCCTCGACAGTCCATGCCGATCTGCC